GGGGGGGGGGAAATTAAAAGGAAACATTGTGTATTTTTTTATATGTGACTTTAATGATTTTTATTTTTTTGCTTTCATTTAACTTTTCTTGCTGTCACATAGGAGACCAACAAGCCCCCAATGTGATAGCACAGATACAGTGACAGGTCCTCTTTATGGAGACATCAGGGGTCTCCTAAGGACCCCAAAGAAGCTGATGAAGCAGAGATTGTCTATTAGAACCTTAATGTCTCCGAGGGACCCCAATGAAGCTGATGAAGCAGAGATTGTCTATTAGAACCTTAATGTATCCGAGGGACCCCAATGAAGCTGATGAAGCAGAGATTGTCTATTAGAACCTTAATGTATCCGAGGGACCCCAATGAAGCTGATGAAGCAGAGATTGTCTATTAGACCCCTAATGTCTCCGAGGGACCCCAATGAAGCTGATGAAGCAGAGATTGTCTATTAGACCCCTAATGTATCCGAGGGACCCCAATGAAGCTGATGAAGCAGATATTGTCTATTAGAACCTTAATGTATCCGAGGGACCCCAATGAAGCTGATGAAGCAGAGATCGTCTATTAGACCCCTAATGTCTCCGAGGGACTCCAATGAGCTGATGAAGCAGAGATTGTCTATTAGACCCCTAATGTCTCCTAGGAACCCCAAATAAAGCTGATGAAGGAGAGATCTGTTTCTTCAGTTTCTTCTCTAGCTACAGGAGCTGGAGTAATGACAGGCTGAAACTGTAGGTGATTTAATACACATCACTTCCAGGTCCTGTGATCAGAGGAGAGGTCAGCCGGCGGGCTGATCTCCCTCTGATCCAGCCACAGGGACCCACTGTGCTAGTCCTAGGCCTGCACTTACCTGAAACCATTCCCGCATCCTCTGCACCCAAACTGTGAAGGTAATATTAGATACTGCATGCAGACTGGGAACCTGGCAGGGGTACATCCATTCACTCAAAGTATCCTACTAAACCCTAACTGGCTAGTAAAGTTCTTGGGCGCATTACAAGCAGGGGCAACCTCTAGCTGTAAGGGGCTCCAAGATCTCAGAGGCCCCTGTGCACCTGCATGGGCTGCAGAGGCTGATACGTCCACCACTGTTTCCCAGGGTATGCATACGACAGGTCGAGAACTGGCCTACAGCAGGACCTGGATGAAGGACAGAAACACTAAGCAGGTAGACTGGGCTCCTTGTATGCATCTCAAGAATTCAACATCATTATACGAGGGGAGGCCAAGAAGTTCTTACCCTCACCATGATCTAGATGTGCTGGGGATCTGAATGTTTGCAGGTGTAGGTGGATATCTTAGTAATAGGCATGCCAATTGTTTTTGTAGGTCATGGTGAATGATAGTTAGAGCCAAGAGAAATGGAGTAGGTGTCATGCCGGACAAAGTTGAATACCGTGCCGTGATTAGGCGGCTCCATCTTCAAGGGAAATCTGCCCAAATAATCCATGAAGAGAGGTCAGCTGTGTATGGAGAGGATTGTCCATCATATGAGACCCATCCACCTTACTCACCTGACCTGGCACCTTCAGACTTCTTCCTGTTTCCAAATCTGAAGAAACATTTACGGGGAAGACGTTTCCACAATGATGAGTCCGTCATAACTGAAGTTGATAGCTGGTTTTCCTCCAAATCTGCATACTTCTACGCAGATGGTATTAAAGGTCTAAAGGTTCCACAGATGTGAAAAGTGTGTAACCATAGGAGGTGGAAGGAAGAGTCAGTGGACTCAATTTCAGATCCCTAGCACATCTGGATCTTGGTGAGGGTGAGAACGTTTTGTCCTCCCCTTGTATGTATACCCAAATCTGATTCCATACAAAAATAGTAGAAATAGTTGTATGAGAACCACATCCGTGCATTGATAATACCGCAGTGCCACTGCAAAAGCTACCATCCTATCATCATTTATCTTTCAACTGTCTTAACTAGGGTCATAAATCTACCTGACGCCCGACCAGCCCAGATCCACTCCTGCAGGTCTTGGAGTAGAACTTGACGCAGGTCTGTTTCAGGCAGGGCTTACACTCCTCCCACAGCGCCAGCATTGTGTCATTGCAGATTTCCTTGGTCTCGGAGAGCTGCTGCTCGGACTCCAGAGCCCCTTTCAAAGCATCCTAAGAAAAATAGAGACTTAAGTCAAGAGACTTGTATCACGCTGCAGAAGACATCATCAGAGAAGGAAGAAAAAGTTGTCTCTGGCTCTACAATATGTAGATTGGGTAGATAAAATGACCTCCTTGTTCTTCTTGGTCTCCTCCAGCGTGCGAAGGATCTTCTGGTGCTCTTCTCCAGTTTGGTCCATGAGCTGTTTCATCTGTCGGACTCCATTTAGAGCGTTCTCGAACTGTTCAGTGATGTACTTGCTTCCTTCTTCTGAGATTTCTGCAGACACACAGACATCGTAAGGGATATCAAAAGCAGAGATGAGGCTGTGCTTGGTGTCAACCCAGCTTGGCCAAGCCAACTCAAAACTCATCCCCTCCTCCCAACCCAATGAGTGTTGGCAGATATGTTGGGGGCATACCCCGCCCCTTTGTGACATATAGCTGCGGGACCAGGAATGCGTCTCCCTGCAACTGATTGGGTCGGGGGGTGGTGGTCAGAGTTTTGAGTGGGCTTGGGTGAACCCAGGCGTACCGGTTTGCACAAAGCCTAGCCTCAGCACAAATGCAGACAAATGGTTAACAGACCATCCACATGAAAGAACAAATGACAGTAAAAGGTACTAGGAGGTGACGAGGACTTATCAGATGATCAGTGCTGATAACATCCATTTTAAAGCCAGCAGGCTCTTGCTAAGATTGTGATCTATGGCTCATCATGAGTCCAAGAAAATCAGCAACACACATGGTGGAGCATGGAGGCCTGTCTTCGAGCTGCTGAGAAGAACTGGTTATACATTGGTAGGTTATCGTATGAACCTTCATACAAAAATCTCATCAGAACATTCGACAAATACCATCAATGACTTGACGAATGTTATTTGAGATTCTGTTTGGTTTTAACATTCGATTTTGGAAATAAATGGAGTTTCTCGAATGAAAACTACATTCACTTTTAGAATTTTGTTGGCTCGGCAAAAAATTTCCATCCGGCTCCGATTTTTTTTATCATTAAAGTGGAAAACGATCAATAATTTGTCCCCATTAACCATTAAAAATGAATGTTTTCGAAAATGATTTTTTAAAAACCAAATTCTGCGGGAGTATGGCCGGCTTTACCTTAACAGTGCCAAAACCAGAGCCCTGCGGCTGTGTACATTTTCCTTATCTGCAGGTTGCAGTTATGTGATAATGTTCTGCACACTGCGGAGACATCTGGCTCCGTTCACTAAGCAATAGCACACACGTGTTATGTGTCATGGCCAACGTTATTTTCAGCTCTTATTTCTGAAAAATATGGTTCTGATGGCAAATATGAATTGTCGCGAGTTGTTTGTACCGATCATCTGTTCAAACTGCTCATTACAATTCACAGGGATTGAGGGAGCTGAGCTTTTCCCCAGTAATAGGGGAATAGCACAAAGTAGGGATGTCCCAATACCACTTTTTTAAGACCAAGTACTTTCCCTCAGGTACTCGCCGATACCAATTACCGATACTTTTTCTTAAAGGGACATGTGACATTTTTTCTAAAACAACACAGACTGATGATGGTAGGGCAGTTTATATGGCTAAATATAGATGTCACCAGAACTGAATACATGTCCCCAAAGCAGAACACATGTCCCTAAGGTAGAACACGTGTCCCCAAAGCACAACACATGTTCCTAAGGTAGAACACATGTCCCCAAAGCACAAAACATGTCCCCAAAGCAGAACACATGTCCCTAAGATAGAAAACTTGTCCCCAAAGCACAACACATGTCCCCAAAGCACAACACATGTCCCCAAAGCACAACACATGTCACCAAAGCAGAACACATGTCCCCAAAGCAGAATTCATCTCACCAGCATGCGTGTTGATCTCACCCAGGCAACGTGTTCTGCTTTGGGGACGTGTGTTCTGCTGGGTCCCGGCCTCTTCAAGCGGCAGACTGATTTTGTCCGCCGTCCAGCCGACCATCTCCGCTGCTGGGCCCCGACCTCCATCCTTTCCACTGCTGGGCCCCTGGCTTCCAACTCTCTGCTGGTGGGCTCCGGCCTCCTGACTGGTCTCCCCATTTGCCCCCCGGCCCAGTCCTCCCCTGTCAGTGGGCTTTGGGCCCCTGGAGGGTCGCTCCGGCTGCACCGCCAGTAGTTTCGCCCCTGGGGCTGTCTATGGCTGTGCCTGCCCCGGGAAGGACGAGGAGGAGATAAAAAAAACAGACAGCCACTGCCATGGACATCTACTTGCAGGTCCCCAGCAAGCTGCCGAGGTCCCCACAAGCGCAGGGAATTAGCAGCCGCTGCGATTTAAATTTAAAGGGCCGGTAACCGCCTTAAGAATTGGGGCATTTCCACGGGTACAAGTACTCATGAGAATGCCTGGTCATCAGACATCCCTAGCACAGATTATACCAGAGAGAAAGTCTGTATTGTATACAGTGGTAGAAGCACGAGGCCAAATAGGGAGCTGTTGAGAAATGTAATAGAGGAGATAGAGGATAGAGGAGGGAAGGGAAGAGGAAAGATGGGAGTGAGGAAGGGAAAGAATGAAGGAAAGGAGGGAGGAAGGAAGGAAAGGAAGGGAGGGAGGGAAGAAGGGAGGGAGGGAAGGAGAGATAGGAAGGGAGGTAGGCAGGAAAGGGCAGCAGGACCAGATTGAGGAAGAAAGGAGAAAAGGAGAGGAGAATAAGAAAAGGAGGAAGGACTAGAGGAAGGAAGGAAGGAAGGTAGGCAGCAGAAGGAAAGGAAAGGAAAATGAGAAAAGGAAAGAAATGGAAAGAAGAGGAGAGAAGAGGGAAAAGGAAAGGAAGAAAAAAGGAGAGGAGAAAGGAAGGGAGTTAGGAAGAAAAAGGAGGAAGGACCAGATGCAGGAAGGAAGAAGAATGGGGAAGAAGCAAGGCAGGCTAGAGTATGGAAAATAAATAACATATAACGACAGTGTTACAGAAGGAAGGTTTATGTTGTACTCACTTTTCAGGCTCTCGGGGGGCAGAAGAGCCCCTGTAAAGTTGAGCAGAACGGCCACTAGCAGCAGCGATAGAGGAATCATCTTCATTTTCTCAGCGGATGTCTCTGTGAGAAGAACAC